CTTGGTCTGAATTAACATTACCCACCGTCTCCGGCCAATTCATCTGCCTGGCCAATTTCTCAAAGAAAATGAGAAAGGCTTCTACATTATTTTCATCGAATTTTGTTAATGTTTGACATAAATGTATATATCCCAGCTATTTCTTTGGCTACGATGGGTTTGCTCATCATCACGCTCCTCCTCGTTAAGCCTACTTTCTACCTTCATCTTCATCCTTTTAAATTGACTTTCCTGTTTAATTCGCAACTTAAGTTCAAACTCTCTCTTTCTTTTTGCTCAGCTAAGAACCTTCTCTCCCTTTCTTTATCTTCTAACCCTCTTCTTTCCCTTTCTTGTTCTTCTGCCCTGGCTCTGCTCTTCTTTATCTCCTAACTCCAATTGTCTAATTTTCAATTTAATTTTTTTGAACTCCACTGCACTCGCCTGCTTCTCTGATATACCTAAGTGCTTGACCAACTCTTAAAATTTCAGATTTCTTCTTATCCCTAGTTAAACCCAATTCTAACCTGTTTGCTAATTTTTAACAGTATATCTTTCCTCTGCTTTTCTAAACTTTCTTGGCAAATTTGGGAAGCATCTTCAAATCCTAGAACCTCTCTAGCAATGTTAAGAGCCATTTCCCTCACTTTTATTTTAACCAACAACAAGTTACCAAAATTAAACAGATTTTTCTGACTTACATTTTATTTAAAGGTTTAAAACACTAATCCCTAAGTCTATTTAAATCTTTCCAGACCTGTTCAGATCCTCTCGGGTCCCAGACTTGATCTGCCCAGGACCGAATCGATGAGCCCCCACAGTCTGTTTATGGCAGGAGAAGAGCTTCCTTTCTACTAATTAAATCTGAAACACCCAGAGAAGCTCGGCCTGCCCGTCCATAATCTGTTGAGTATTTAAATGAAAACAATCCTGATACATGTTTTATTAGCATCAAGTAACAATTTATTTATTTAACCCTAACAGTGAACAAATTAACAGAACTACTAACAAACTGAAGAATTCCCCTCTAACTACTATTTCCTAATAAAACAAGCTTCTAATCGTACGCTGTTCCAATAAACACAGGCCCCACTTATATAAATCCAAGTAGTAATAAAACAATAAATTAAAACTTAGTTTCTCAAAGTTCACACTGAGTGTGTCTCTCTGAATGCTTTGCCTTCTCCACTGTCTCTCCAGCCTTCCTTATGCTGATCCTGCTGTTGGGGATGTTTTCTGTGTAATTTCTTCTGTGAGGAACAGCTAGAAGTGCCATGGTACCTTTTTTTTAAAAGGGAGCTTAATGAGTTTTGTGTGAGAGCTCGGTTTATTTCTCAGATGACGGATTTGCTTTTGCTTCAGATGGCAGTTGGCTCTCACTGATTCTTTTTTTTTCAAAACCCCCTTATATGCCCCCAATGACTCATCAGTTTCTTATATGATTAGTTTCAGGTTGTCAGAACCATCATTTTTAAATTCAGTTGGCTTTCAGTCGCTGGGGGGTTGGTTTAAATTAATTGGCTGAGTCCAGCTTGTTAACCAAACATCAAAACAAGACTGCTGTTTTACCTGCCAACTGTAAGGCATTTTGATACACTTGTCACAATTTGGAGGTCTCTGTATAGTACTTGCAAATTTCCAAGCATAGACAAAGCACAATCTTTTAAAGGGATCACGCATTGCTTTTCCCCACTGTTACTTTTACAAACACGTTCGATCTTCCTGCCTTCCAATTCATGACTAATCTACACAACTTCGTAATACCTGTCAAATCCTGTAACAAAAAAAATTGTTTCAGTGAGGTGAACTCTCCATCTAAATGTCAGAATATAGATCCATTCTAAATTTTCTGTTTCATGACCTGGAAAGCAGCTTCTCACTGTCCCAGTGTTTCCCCAGACCTGGAGTTAGAGCCGCCATGGTCTTATGTGGGGTGGCGGGGGAGGGTGCTCACTAGAGTCTCGACGAATGCCCACCTCTTAATTGAGGAACCCACAAGCTAGACCCCCGAGACCATGCGCAGGCAAACCTTTTGGCTCTGAACTTTTCCATGATGTGAGCTGGGGGACCAGAGTTATCACTTCTAGTGAAATACTGTTTGATTTCCTTTTTTGGCCGCACTCTGGATCTGTTGATTATTGAACTTCTGTCAGAAGTCACATGATACCAGGTTATAGTCCAACAGTTTTATTTGAAATCACAAGCTTATAGAGCGCTGTTCCTTTGTCATGTGGCATGAACAAAAGCACACAAGCATATAATTTATAGGCAGAGGGATCAAAAGATCATGCACATGGTGTGAGTGGAGTTTCGACAGGCTGAATAATGTTTCTGCAGGTCATCAAGTGTCAGACAGTGAGTAAGATGTCAACAGCTGAATAGCAAGTGAAGGGATGACCTATAATCTGAATAATTGAGGTAGAGATAATTACAAAAGACTAAAAATGTGGCACTGGAAACAAACTAAATGGATGGAATAACATGATAGGTATACGAGTCATGTGCTGAGAGTCTAACCAAAGTAACAAGTAATCCGAAACTGTACAAACTAATTTATGTAGGGAGATTGTAAGTTATCAAGATGATGGTGTCAAAACAGGACAATAAGGAAGATTTTACAGATAAAAGTGTGGTGGGGTTACATGTAGCCCAATATGAGCAAGACTTCTTTGCTGCACAGGACCTCCAATCAATGCTATACACCAGATACAGGGACATTTTCTTCCTTTGGCCTCATGGCGAGGAATCACTGAAATGACTATACAATGATAGCAACAAGTTTCATCCCACCATTAGAATTACCATGGACTACTTTTCAGAATCAGTCTCATTCTTGGACATGCATCTGCATCAAGGAAAGATATTTCAGTACCTTACTCTACCACAAGCCTACTGATAACCTCACGATGCTGCACTTCTCTAGCTTCCACCATAAACATAATAAAGAAGCCATCCCCTACGCCCACGTACTGTGTATACACAGGATCTGCTCAGACAAGGAAGGATGCAACAGACACCTAAAGGTGCCCTCAAAAAGGGGTACGATGCTCAATTCATCGATTGCCAGTTCTGATGTGCCACAGCAATAAACTGCAATGACCTCCTCAGACACAAGACATGACTGATAGAGTATTGTCCAGTACTTCCTTGAAGCAGAGAAACTGCACCATGTTCTTTGCAGCCTTCAACACGTCATTGATGAACACAACACCAAGATCTTCCCTACGCCTCCACTTCTCACCTTTTAAACCACCGCCAAACCTTAAACAGACCATTATTCACAGCAAACTACCCAGCCTTCAGGATGACATTGACCACAGCACCACACAACCCTGCCACGGCAACCTCTGTAAGACATGCCAGATCGTTGACATGGATTCTACCACAAGACGTGGGGAACACCACCCACCGTGTGCAAGCAGATACTCGTGTCACTCGGCCAATGTTGTCTACTTTGTATGCTGCAGGCAAGGATGCCCTGTGGCAGTGTATATTGGCGAGACCTTGCAGATGCTATTACAACGGATGAATGGACACCGTGACAATTCCCAGACAGGAATGTTCCCTCCCATTCGGGGAACACTTCAGCGGTCAAGGAAATTCAGTTTCTGATCTTTGGGAAAGCGTCCTCCAAGGCACCTTTTGAGATAGACAGCAACGCAGAATTGCCGAGCAGAGACTGATAGCCAAGTTCTGTACCCATGAAGACAGTCTCAACCGTGATCTTGGGTTCATGTCATGGTACATGTAAACCCACCATATTCTACAAATTGGTTGCAGTTGAAGAGAAGTTCCAACTTCAGTTCCCCTCTTCGACTTATTTGCAGAGACCTTCATCCATATCTTTGTATCTGTACTCTCCTCTTGGCTGACTTCCTTTCATCTCAAATTTGTGCTCATCAAATTCACCAAGTTTTGTTCACTCACCTCACTGATGAACATGGGTTTCTTGGTTAAGCAAATACTCTGAGTTGAAAATGCTTATCACCTTCAAATCTCTGTTCCATTTCTGGCCGCTTGAGCATTTCTGATTTGAATTGCTCCACCATTGGTAGCAGCATCTTTAGCTGCTGAGGTGCTAAGCTCTAGAATTTCTCCACCCATCTACCCCTCAGAACCTTTCCATCTCGACTTCACTTTCCTCCTTTTGAGACACTCTTTTTAAAACCTTCCTCAGTGCCCCAAGTTTTATTATCATCTGCTCCAGCGTATCTTGTTTGATAATGGTGCTGTGAAGTGTCTTAGGACAGATTTATAAATTGATTATTTATTTAACAGAGATTCTTGATCAATTGAGGATATTGGGTTGATGTGAGGCACATGAGCGTGCAAAAACTGTTCGATTAAAATGTCATTTAATAGACTTGTCAACACATTTGAAGCCAATTTGAATAAAAGGGACAGGGGCAGTGATGTGAAACTAGCTGAGTGATAAGATAAAATTGTGGTTCATGGCTGGTTTTCAGACCAGAGGGAGGAACACAGTGAAATTCCCTGGATCGCTGCTTCTAAGTCTCTGTTAATGACATTGATTCGATTCGGTGGGACTGGGCACAACCTAGAAGTAGTGTAAACTGAGGGGGAGACAGAAAGACTTTGAGGGTAGATTGACTGGTAAAATAGGGGAAGGTGTGGTAGATGAAAGATGTGAAGTAATATATTTAAGAAGGAAGAATGTGGCTGGGCAATAGAAAGAGAGTATATTCCAAAAAAAATTGCAGGATTAGAGGGACTTGAGAAAATGTTTGAAAGGTGTATGGAATCCTAAGTGTAATAAATACAGGGGCACAGAATGCAGAATCAAAAAACCTTGAAAAACAGGATGTTCACCTCAGGTTTGTCAACTTTTTGACACCACACTTTAAGCAAGAAGTTTAAACCTTTAGAGAAGGTTCCAAAAAATTTACCAGACTGGTTCCAGAGATGAGGGAGTTCAGTTTCATGGGTAGATTAGCAAAACTGAGCTTAATGGGTGATTCCATGTATAAGTTTCTTATACAATTTGCTGTCTTTCCCTCCAGTGCACAGCAGAGAAGCAGCCAGTTAACAAAGAAACGAGCGGTTCCAAACCAGGTAAGAGCACGGATTTAATCCTGAGCAAGTTGTGGGACTAAACTGTGCATCTTTGACCAATTGGGTTTGCATGAGTGGGGAGTGTTGGTGTAATATTTGGACTGAGCCTTGTTACTGAGTTTGCACTATGCATCACTAATTAAACAAGGATTTGCAGAATGTTTGTGTGAATTTAATTGTCTAGAGAAATTTTGCATTTCAGTCTAGAGGTAAAATGGAGAATTTTAATTCTCTTGAGGCCACAAGAGAATTTCCGCCCCGCCCCCTTTTTCCCTCTGCCTCCCTCCTTCCCTCTGGCCCCACCCCCACTTTCCCTCCCGTTTAATTGATGTGTGTCTTTTGGAGCGTGAGGTTTGGGGTAATCTGGTTCCTGGTTCCTCAAGGTTTTGTACTAAAGGGATATTTTGGCTGTTAAAGGCCTGGCTGAGGATGGCCTCTAATAACTGCATGTCATTTTGTTTTCTCTCTTTCACTGACTTTGCTGTTCCTTTGCTCTCTGTCCAATTTTACTTCAACCCACCCTCACTCAATTCACTTTCCTCTGATATTCCTCCCTCCTTTAAACTATAACACTTCTAAAGGGTGAGATTCTGGTAAGTACCGTTTGTGTTGTGTGTTGCTTAGTTTTAGTTGATTTGAGTTTGTCTGGTGAGAGGAGGAATTAGATTGGGATATGATCAGGAAACATTTCCCCTTGGCATTCAGTTGTGGCTAAAATGATTTCATTGTATTTCAGTTTTTTTCTTTTCTCTGCTCAGATTCAATAATTACAATGCTCAAAATAAACAGTCAGATTTATGTTAATCAGCAAGTTCTGCCTTTGCTCTTGTTTCTGGTGATGGTGTCAACGCCATTAATGGCAGGTTCATTAATCACCTGGTTCTCCAGCAGCCAATGGAATGATGTATCTGTGATTCATTCACAGTTTTCTACCCATCTCTTCCTCCTGGGAATGGCGTATTCCTACATTTGAGCTGGGAAGTCCTCCGCTCACCAGCATGGTGGCCCTGTCTGGTCGTTCGGATCAGCTACTTGTTCCATTTGATGCTGGGTAATCAGGGCTTTGCTCCAACTACCAATGATGCACATCAGCCTCTTCCCTATTTCCTCTTCATCTATGCAGTTCTAACTGCATTTGTATGCCAGCACTTTTTGGAAATGATCCTGTTGAAATTGACAGTTGCTGTGGGATTAATGTTGGATCAGTGCAGTTTATAACCCCCAAGGGTAGAGGGATTATTCCAAGTCAGTGACAGTTTTCCCCCTACTGTGTCTCGGGTAGGTGACTAACCAAATTTGTTTCTAATTAACTTGTTTTGTATTTTGTTTTGTGTAATGTGTCTCTAATTTTACCCAACATGATCTGGCTTTCCATTAACCCTGTTTCACAATGGAACTGTCTGTCGGAGTTGGTTTCAGGTGGAGCTGCAGCAGCCCACCGTGTGTAGGGGCTTTTGTTCCAGCAGCAGAGTTCTTAAAACTCCTCAAACTAACTGGTGTCTTGATGCTTTCTAATCAACTTCGGAATGTGCTGTGCAGGTTAGGATGTGCACAAAAAGACGGGCAGTCAGGTATTTCTCAGGATTTCGCTTCCCTCTTGTTTCCTCCTGAGACTGTGTGGTCTCTGTTCGCCTTGAATACTAGCCTTCCTGCCCCCAAACTCCACCACCACCTATGGGCATATTCTCATTTCTATCCTGGGTTCCCCCACCCACCTGACTAAAGTCCCATGTGGGTCAATGTGTCATGAAGGCTCAATGTGTCATGAAGGCTCACAACGTAATGAACTGTTGCTCAGCCTCACAATGCTGCTATTTCCAGGTTATTCGTAGGGGTTGGATCACCATCAACAACATCAGCATCATGAAGGGTGGCTCCAAGGAATATTGGTTTGTGTTAACGGCTGAGTCATTGTCTTGGTACAAAGATGAAGAGGTGAGTGAGTCTAACACTTTCTCATTTGTTCTCTGTTGTACTTTAATTAAATGGGGTTGGTCTTGAATTTGATTTCAGCTTACCTTATGCATGAGTCCATTTTTGCTGCAGACATCGCACACGGAGTTGACCTTCCCTCCGTTCTGGCAGTGTTTACAAAGTTAATACACTGTGTGTTTGATTGTATGCCTTGCTGAGCTTGGTGGGGTAGGACAGCATCTTCTCCATTTGTGTCTCTACTACTGTCTGCTTGAAACCCATTAATTGGGGCATTCTCCATGGCAACGACTCTACCAATCAGAGTCACTTGCCTACCAATCAGCACTTCCCTCATATTTGGTATTTCTTACAAATTTTCCTGGAGTGCAAAATGGAAAGCTTCACCTTTTTTTCAGCAATCTCTCATTGAGCTTGAGGTCCCTTCTCATCCTGATCTTTCGGTAAACTTTTATCAGCACGGTGGCTCAGTGGTTAGCACTGCTACCTCACAGCACATGGGATCCAGGTTTACTTCCAGCCTTGGATGATTGTCGGTCTGGAGTTTGCACATTCTGCCTGTGCTAAGTGCTCCGGTTTTCTCCTACAATTCCAAAGATGTATAGGTTAGGTGGATTGGCCATAGGAAATGCAAGGTTACATGATTAGGGTAGGGAGCTGGGTCTGGTTTAGATGCCTCTTTGGAGGGTCAGTGTGAACTCAGTGGGACTAATGGACTCTTTCTGCACTGTAGGATTTCTATGATGTTGTTCATCCTTATGACCACTTTCCCTCTGATCTTTACAAGTATCCTCCTCAGAAAATTTTTGAAACGTCTGAGAAGGTTTTTGAAAGAGGTTGTGTATATCTTTTTGAAATGACAAGAGGCCTGTAGTGGAAGCTGAATGCTGCAGCATATAGCTGTGTTTTCTGATGGTTATGTGAATGTTACAGGAGAAGGAGAAGAAGTACATGTTGCCACTTGATAACCTGAAGCTGAAGGATGTGGAGAAAGGTTTCATGTCCACCAAACATGTCTTTGCAATCTTCAATACAGAGCACAGGTTAGTGCCAGCTTAGCTGCAGCTGCCTGTCTCCACCTAACATCTAGTGACTGAGAGAGGGAGTACTGGGAGAAGGGGAAGTTGATGACCTGGGATTTTCAGGGCTGGACTCCTGTTCTAGTTTGTCATTAGCCGGGTGCTCTGGGTCTCATTGAGCCAATCCAGTCATTGTCCCTTAAACCTGCTGAGCATTGCCCCATGGTGATGAGGTTTCTGTCTGCTGCCGTGTCAAGACAGCAAACATCAAGTCTGCAATAGAAATTAAAATGGAAATGACCGGTAAACAACAGTGTAACTAGATCTTAAAACTTAGTCTGTTGCTGTTTGAAGCTTTTGTTTCCTGTTATCCAGTACAGTGAAATCTATTTCCAGAGTGTCTCGCTGTGGGAAATGATTCATTTTAATTTTCCATTTTTCTTTAGAAATGTTTATAAAGACTATCGCCAAATTGAATTGGCTTGTGAGTCCCAGGAGGATGTGGACAGTTGGAAAGCATCATTCCTGAGGGCGGGGGTCTATCCAGAGAGGGAGAATGTAAGTTTTAGCTATATTTGTTACAGTCTTTCTCTGAAATAGCAAACAGAATTTCTATTGTCTTGTGTTACTGTAAGACAAAATTGGTGAAAGTGGCTGTTCCTTCACAACTGACAGAACCTCTAACCTCCCTTAGAATTGCACCATTTAAACAGGTCATTTAGCCGAGCATTCCAGAATGCTGCTTTTGTTCCACATGTGACTCCTCTAATCTTTTATTTAAATCTACAATCATAATAATCTATTCCTTCCTCATAAGCTTGACTAGCTTTCCTTTAAATACATCTACACTATTCATTCCAACCACTGCTGGCTGTGATAGCAAGTTCCATTGTCTCATCATGCAGGGTAGAGACGTTCCTATGGAATAAAGTACTGGATTTCTGAGTGGATATCTTGTTTCAGTGTCACATCTAGAAAAGTTCTGTCTACAACCTTTCTGACAAACTTTACCTTTTATAGTTTTAAAGACCTCTGAAGGTATCCCTCAACCATTTTGTCAAGGGGGAAGCGACCTCACTTGTCAATCCTTCCTTGATATGTTTACCCAAAGGTTACTAACGTTGTATCATTCCTTTGTTGCTGTTCTTCGTTTATTTAAGGATCCTGTTACTTTACTTTTCCTGCCACTGACATTAAGCTGTCTGATCTACAATTTCCTGGGCGTGTTTGGTGATTCTGTACCCCTTAACTATGTTTGGATAAGAGACCAAAGGAGTGACATTCACAATGGTTTAATGTCCAGAGACCCTGGCTGGAAAATGTGAAACCCTTCATGGTATGTAATGAGCTAGCAGACAGATCAAATATGACTGGCCATAGACTGAGACCCCAACAAGGAGTCAGCACTTAAAGGGGCAGAGAATTTCTGTTCCTGTGGGTGATGCTGAGAGGTGTGCAGCATGGAGTCACTCCTCTAATTGTTGACCATCCTCTTTAGACTGAGAATGATGAGGGGGGCAGCAGTCCAGACACATTTTCAATGGACCCGCAGCTGGAGCGACAGGTTGAAACGATCCGTAACCTGGTGGATTCCTACATGGGAATCGTCAATAAATCGATCAGGGATCTGATGCCAAAGACCATCATGCACCTCATGATCAACAACGTAAGTTTTTCTATGGACCTTTGAGGGGAGGGAGAAGTCTGGGGGTGAGTGGAATTGGTGCAATTAGAGTGTAATTCTAAAGTATTCAATTTTGTCACCTTTTGAACGTATGGAAAGTTTGCCCTGAAGTTGATGGAGAAAAGAATGAGAGAACTGCAAGTACGGCACTGAAATTGATGAGTCTGCAAGTGGCAAAGGACATAGATGAAGGTTCAGTAAACAGACAGACTTGGGCTGCGGTGGAGACAAGTTATGTTGGAGAGGTGCTATACTGATAATGGCACTGGGCTAGCAGTCCAGAACCCCACGCTAATGTTCTGGGGCATGAGTTCAAATACCACTATGGCAAATGGTGAAATCTGAATTCAGTAAAATTTGGAAAAAAGAGCTGGCCTAACGGTGATAATGTAACCATTGATTACTGTAAAATCCTGTTTTGTTCACTGATGCAGTTTAGAGATGGTGAATGCTGGCCTAACCCACATCCCCACAAACAAATTTCTTACAAAGCAGGTTGTAGTGAGGGAGAGGATTTAAGGTCAGAAGCTTAGATTGGTTCAGTGAGTTAGCAAGGTAGTGTGTGCTGGTTCAATGTCGGAGGGGAGTTGCAGAAGAAGGATTGTTGAGGAGAATGTAGGAGGGGAATTCTAGAATGGGAGGCCATAGACTTGGGGGGTGGCAGATATAAACCAGTTGTGGATAAAATTGCTTCACAAAGGGTCGTGAAGCTGTGGAATTCACTACCCCAGAGTGTGGCAGATACTGTGACACTGAATAAATTTGAGAAGGAGATTTTTAATTAATAATAGGTTGAAGGGAGAGTTATGGGGAGTGGGCGGGAAAGTGGAGTTGAGGCTGAGATGAGATGAGATCAGTGATGATCATATTAAATAGCAGAACAGGCTCAAGGGACTGAACTGCCTACTCGTGCTTCTTCTTCTTATATTCTCACGCGTAAAGGCATAGGAATGATAGAGAGGCATATACCCGTATTTGTGTAGCACCTTGTGCAATAATTGAATATTTTGGAGCCAATTAAGTGTCTTAGAATGATAGTCAGATATAATGTAGGAAACCTAGCAGCCAATTTGCATACTGCAAGATCTCACATACGGCAATATCATGAAAACCAGATAAATCTGTTTTGTGAAGTAAATTCAGGGATAAATATTGACTAGAGCATCAGAAATACATTTCCTACTCCACTTAAAAATAATGGCCTGAGATCCATTACTTCAACTCAAGTACCCAATTTGAGGTTCACAGTTCTAATCTGAAGGATGATAAGTCTGATAGTGCAGCCCTTGGTTCAGTCCCTATGTGGCTATGGTTTGGTGGAACACCATGGCAGCTCAGTGGTTAGCACTGCTGCCTCACAGCGCCAGGGACCTGGGTTCAATTCCACCCTCGGGTAATTGTCTGTGTGTAGTTTTGCACATTCTCCCTGTGCCTGCCTGGGTTTCCTCCCACAGTCCAAAGATGTGCAGGCTAGGTGGCTTGGCCATGGTAAATTGCCTGTAGTGTTCAGGGATGTGTAGATTAGGTGGGTTATGGGGGATGGGTCTGGGTGGGATGCCCTGAGGGTTGGTGTGGACTTGTTGGGCTGAAGGGCCTGTTTCCACACTGTAGGGATTCTATGATCCAAGATCTTTTGCTTGTGACAGACCAAGGACTTTATCCACTCGGAGCTACTAGCTTTCCTGTACTCGTCCACTGACCAAAGCAGCTTAATGGAGGAGTCGGCTGAGCAGGCACAGAGACGTGATGAAATGTTGCGAATGTATCATGCCATCAAAGAAGCTCTGCGCATTATCGGGGACATCAGCACCACCACCATCACTGCACCCCTGCCTCCCCCAGTTGATGATTCCTGGCTTTCTGCCCAGTCAGGAGGTCACAGGTAGGTAAATGTGAGGAACGACAGAATTAGGAATCTGGGATGGGGTAGGGGAATGAAGTAAACGGGCTCATCTGGCTGCAGCCTTGGACCCTTCTTTAGCTCACTACTGACATCCCCTCAATTCTCCCTATGTGACTTATCCTCACTCCAAGGTCACCATCCTTGGGTATATTCCGTCCGTCGGGCAGGACAGACCCACCTAGTGATATTGCAGCAGGGAGGGATTTGTCTTTGGAATCCTCAACGTGAAGTCTCATGGTAGCCTCCTGCTGATTACCATGTACTGCCTCTCTTTGGCTAATGAATCAATTCTCCTTCATGTTGAACATCGCTTGAAGGAAGCACGGAAGGTGGCAAATGCCCAAAATGTACTCTGGGAGATTTCAGTGTCCATCACCAAGAATGACTCAATAGCACTGCTGATGACCAAGCTGGTTGAGTCCTTGTGGTAGAACATGGGAGGAGGAGGCTATGTGGTGGCAGAATTTGTGGGGTTGCATGATGTTTGAGGGGGTGTGGTTGGGCTAAGGTAGAGCTTGAGCAGTTGTGGGATGATGGTTGCTGATGTGATGGGAGTTTGCAGAAGCGGTGTTGGAATCTTTACGCTGCTGTTTTACACATTAGTTGAAAAGTGAAATTGTGATTGATGTTCATGCTTTGTTACTTCCACAGTCCGACACCTCAGCGTAGACCCCACTCTGCAGTGGGTCCACCAGGTAGACCACCTGGGGTCCGAGGATCGACTCCAGGTCCTATGTTAATACCAACTCCTGTGGGAGGTTTTGGTGCTCCTCCTATTCCATCCAGACCTGTTCCCACTAATGATGCCTTCGGGGTACCACCTCAGATTCCTTCCAGGCCAGCACGTATCCCACCTGGCCCTCCTGGGCTACCCAGGTATGTCTTAACACTCCAACCTCACCCTGCTTAGTAGACAATGCTGAAAGAGGCATAGATGCTGTCTGTGTGTGAGAGAATGCACATACAGATCTGAACGTGTGAATGCCTGAGAGTCCTTGGCTGTCACTCTGGCCTCTTAACAATTGCCTGCCTTAAGTATACTGCCATTCTATAACCTCAACTTTTCTTAACGGTAAATAAGTCTCCCTTTAGCTAGGAGCCATTTCACTTGCAATGTTTCTGGAAACTAATGATGTCCCTTGCGCTTTGGCATTCATACTGTTACAGTTCTGCAGTCCCTGAGTTTTAATTATTGGTAGTTCTTTTGACAGTGTCCTCTCTATTCTGCTTTTTATGCTGAAATAAGGACATATTTCCATTTTGTTGTTGTTCAGGCCCTGGGATGTGTAGAAGTCTGGGGAAGGTGGGACAGGTGGTGTTGATCTTCAAAACAGTCTTGTGTTTAGTTGTGAATTTATCACCTGAATGATGATTACTTAGAGCTCTTAAAAGCTGTAGCTTGGGCATTTATCATATGCACAATTTGCTGAGGAAATGTCCCAGGATTAGCAAGTGTAGAATACCTGTTGGTGAGGCATGAAAGGGCCAGTGTTTTTGTGTTTTAAGTTTCTTGTGTTCAGTTTGTGCCTTTCTCTGTAATATTGAGTTTCATGCATCCTTCGTCTCACTAAAACCTCAACTCGTTGTTTGGTGTGATCTGAACCTCTGACCAACATGCAAGCCACTCCTTTAACAGTGACACTCCTCAGTCTGTTCTGTTTCACCCAGAATCTTGGTGAAAGCTGTGAAAAATTAACTTGAGTTAACTGTGCTGTATTTCTCTTGCTAAATGCTGGTCTGAAAGTGATCAATGGGTCTTGTGCAATGGTCGAGAAAAATCATCTGGGGTTCAATCTGGCAGTTTCTGAATATAAAGTGCCAACCTGTGACTGAGCAGGTCTGTGCTGTGATTGCTGCTCTCGGAGTGAGAAGCTGGGCTTTATTTGGCCATGGTCAATCAGGGGTCAGGAGAGGGGAAAATATTTCACGCGTGAAAATAGACCCTTCTGTTCAGAGTCCAATGACATCGCTGTAATGTACAGCTCTCTCAGCTTCAGCCTGATGATTATCCAGGTCAATGGGAAATGACCCTGGGCTACAGTGTGGCTCTATCCGATGAGCATTTGCAGTTCAGTTTCATATCTCCTGTCTCTTCCTGTGCAGTTATGAAACAATGTAGTTGGAGGGGTAGAGAAAAAAATATAAAAGCAAACACCGGCTGTATACTGATGCCTGCACCGTTCATTGTTGAATTGAACCCTGACTTGCTCCTGTTTCTTTCCCCATTATATTGACCCCCATTTTGTTTTGTCTCCCTTCAGCAGAAGACCACCCGCAGCTCCGACCCGGCCCACAATTATCCGAACAGCCGAGCATTCCCTACTGGATTAAACAGTGGGATTTATCCTGTGAAGCATTTTATTGTAGGCTATAGTGGATGATTAGCCGACATATTCTCACGCATTTAATCCACTGAGGAGCAGTAGTGGTGTGAAGGGCAGGACCCATGTTTACCAGAGTGTTATCCAGACCTCTTGGCTTATCACACTAGCTGGGAGCACCAAGACGTTCTTAACTGAACTTTATTTAAATATAATACTGAATTATTTGTTGGTTGTTCCCCCTAGCACTAAAATTTGGAGTCTGTTTCTCTCACTCACTGCTCCCTTGATATTCCTGATTGAGAAACTTTGCACTCCCTGAATAAACAGCAAAATTGTCTCGGTGCCTTTTTTCATTTGTTGGGATCATTGTTCCTAGCAGCTCTGCATAAATAAAACAATTATATTTGTTGGCTTGTCCTGTCTCCAGACATCTACTTACATTTCTTATTGCTGTCTCTGATGCTATAAGTAATCGGAGCAGTGAGTGCCACGTTCTATGGCCTTGAAAATACTGGGGAAATTGAGAGTACAGAGTGGACCTGGAGTTGTTAAATTGCAGTGAGGTCAGTAGGCTGACAATGTGAAAGGGGAATCAATGGAATTAGGGAGTGCTGCAGTAAACTCTCACTCCTGTGACCCCTTTCCAATTGAAGTTCTGATGGGGTATTAGAATGGGTGAAAGTGAGAAATAAAGGTATGCAAGGCCTGGATGGAATAGTTTGAAAGAGAGACCCCAAGCAGGAGGTATTCTTTGGATCTTGGTTAGGAGTTTGCTCTGAGGAGAGCATATCCTAGCAGTGTGGAGGGGGTGGAGTTAGTGAAATATGGGGAGATACCATGAGCCATGCATTGACTGCAAGTAGTTTATATTGTAGCTGATGGGTTGATTGCGTGAAAATACAATGGCTTGAAGAATCTGATTATGATCTTTGAATTTTTTTTAAAGTCCAATGACTGGGTGTTTTTATTTTCCAGCCAATGACTGCAGAGCTGAGTTTCAGGAACATGGACGATTTTTGAGTCATAGGTAACAGACTGAGCTTAGCCAATGATGTTCTGTTAGCCTCTTAACAGATGTGTGTGTCCATCTATAGATGTTTACCATTTATTCATTGCTTTAATTTTGCACTTGTTCGGACTTGTGCCTAGCTTCCCAAGGTCTCTGGCTCCTTAGCTGTTGTCAGTTTCAAAATTAACCATCCTTAAGATTCTACCATCTCCAGTAAGTGTTGCTGAATGGTTTTGATGGTAAGTTTATGGTTCACTTTGGCCTAACAACTTGGGTTGGATATTTCTGGCAGTTTTAGTTACTGCAGCTCTTCTCCAAACTCCAATCTCTGGCCGTTTTTCTTATTTGATCTAATACCAGTATTGCCAGATTTCAGTCACGGTGACTGGGGATCCAGAAAGATTGCAATTTGGGGGTTGTATTTGTCCAAAGAGGATGGGATTTTTGGGCATTGGTTGTTAATTTGCGTCTTCATTGAACTGCTATGTGTTGACTACTTAGTTTCTCGTTTTTGTCGGGTTCAAAGTATTGTGACTGGGAATCAAGCTAAATTGGTATTCGTGGGATGTGTATGCATAGGCCAGTGAACAACTTGTGTTCAGCAGTCTGTAAGTGAAGGAGTTTAGTGGACAGCCTTTAAATGGGCTTGGGTGTAGCCACCAGTTACAGCTCACGAACAACTTGATCCAAATAAAGCGGAACTTATAAATCTGCCTTCAGTCCCTGAGCTCCTTGGCTCGCCTCCCACGTAAGGTACTAACTTCCACTTCCTCTGACCTCCCAGTATGTTAGGCCTTGCTTAACCTATCCTGTACAGGATAACCAGCTCCCTGTTGGATTTCTTTTGCAGCTTGCTCTCATTCATTTGCCTGGTTTGAGCACTGCCTTAAGAATAAGCATCTCAGATCAATCTGAAAGCACAGCCTGTATTAATTAATTGACCCATTCAGCTATTTTGAAGCAGCCTCTGTCAGCATTGTAAATTCGAATCAAGAACAAAGCATTGGAAATGCTGAAGGTGGCACCTGGGAATTAGATGGCTACACTTGGCCTAGTTCTGGTTAAACCTGTTCTGTATCAGATGCTAATTAACTTAGTACATTTCCAACATTTTCTGTTATGTTCCAGTTTTCCAGCACTGATCACAGCTGGAATCCGCTTCCTGATGAAAATACTGAGAACCACAAATTCCTGATGTGAACAGCTTGTTCATCTTTTTGCAATTAGGGTTGTATGTCCAAGTGTTTGGGAGGTGGTATCCACATACTGTTGCTGCTGAACTAAATTCCTTACCCAGGGGAACTGGACATCAAATCGGCTTTCTCTGGTGAAGGCAGGTTTGCTGCAGGAAATTCTTGTTTTCATAGAAGTTAAAATGCAACTTGATTTTTCCCTTTCTTACTCTAAACAAGAAAGAAGAACAGGGATTTGTTGAATGCACTTAATTCTCTCTCCACATAAACAATGGAATCCAGGTACAACTGGACAATTAAAAAACAAAGTAACAGCCTTTTGGAGGGAGTTCTTGATTGGATGGGTGGGAATGTGTTAAATGTAGTATTCACTGATCCTCACCACCCACCCCACCCTTAGAAATTATTCTCTGAAACTCCCTCAAGATTGTCTTAGTGTCCTGCTGTGGGTGGGACCACCAGTTTTATATAAAAATGTATTAGTTACTAGATCAAATTAATTTCTTCAAGTTTGGTGAGGAGAATCTGCTGCAGGCACTTGAGTCTAATCCTTGATGCTTTATCACAATTGCAATAAAGAGAATGTAACTTGTGCAATTTTGGGCAGTGTTGCCACAGAAAGGTACTGCACCAACTGTGGGAAATTAGCTCAAAGCTCCTTTTGGTTTTCGTAGTCACACATTTGGCAGAAACTGATCACGGATGCTGAAGATCTTTCTACAAACTACAATTTCTAAAGAAAATAACTGAATTAATTAATATTGTATTACAATGTAGTGGCTGAATCCTTTTCCTGTGATTACTTCTTCAAATTCAGGGATCTGTTATATTCAGGACTCAGCTCTAATTAACAGATACCTGAATGTTCTCACTCCTGGTGTGTGATATACTATTGACTGTTAACTGATTTGAAATGAAGTGCCTACATTCTGTATGGTAATGAACTGAAATAAAGGGATGGACAGTAGAAGGAGGCTTCTTCTTGTGTCTTTGTCATCTGTTTCCCCCTTTTCTCATTCTGGGAGAGAGAAAAAGCAGACCCACAAGCTGGCAGATGGTGAAGGGACAGAGGTGATATGCTTGTTCACAGAGGCATGGCAATAGCCCCCTGGGTGGTAACACTAAATATTCTGAGCAGTTTTCAAACTTGATGCAATTTCTGGGACGTTGGGACTGTCCTACACTTTGCTTCTCCACTCACCATTCAGAAATTACAAAATGTTGCTGTTATTGTAGATGGTGGAGGGTTGAGATCATTCAATGGCTGTTGATACCAATTTAGAGAATCTTACAGCACAGAAGATCTTTTTCCAAGTCATTTATCAAATTCTCATTAGAAAACTGCTGCTGAATCTGCTTCCATATTTCAAGCAGTGCATTCCAGATTAAAACACCTGAGTTACTAAAAACAGTGCCTTCCTTTTATCTTAAAATCTGCATCTTCTGATTACCAAAACATCTGAAAGTGGAATGTTTCTCTCATTTCCTTTTATCAATGTCCTCTCAATAATGATGACCATCACAAGTTAGTGAAAAATGACCTGTTATCACTGAAGCTGGGCTGCTGTCAAGCTGCAATGGCGCACTATGGAGTCTGCAGCTAAGTGTAGGTTAACTTAGAATTAGAGAGTGTTTGTTTTTCAGATGAGATTATTTTCCCTTTGCAACTAATTACTGTTTACTTGTACACTCAAGCAGAACTATGTCCATACGACACATGGACAGGTTAGTGACCAGGCTACAGAAATACACAATCTGAGCAATTCATTGTTGCACAGATTTGTGCTTTAGCTAATATAGATGAGACAGCAAATATTTCCATATCCCTGTGCTGAGAATTTGGTATGGAAACTGCTTTTGGTTCATCAATTTACATGAAGCAGCTCATCTACTTGAGTGTGGCCTATCTTCCCAGGTAAGAAACAGATCAGATGTTCTGTGTGTGTGCACCTTTTGTTGTGTCTGGAAACAATGTTTTCTTGATCAGTTTGTTCTAAATGTTCTGCTTTTCTCTTGTATCTAGGCGTCCTCCTCCAGCAGTGCCTTCAAGACCTGGCTACTGAATGTGTCCCACTATTTTCTACCTGTTTTGGCAGACTATTTATGTAATTGCAGTTGCACGTCCAGATTCTGTGAAAACTCCCCATCTCAGACTCTTGCCTGCTGCTCCCTACAGTAATACAAACCCTCTCCAGTAGCCTGGGCAAAAATTGTTACTCTGTCATTACTCTACTCTTCCCTAACTTTGTTTAAAGAAGATCTGTCTGATCTGTTTGGGATTTGTTGAAAGTTACATTTTTATTGGATCTGAATGTGGGTTTGTACAATATTTGACAATCAACTTGTTCTAATTTATAAATCTTGATCAATCTACAGTGAGGCAATAAGGGTTCCATATGCTTTAATGCTGATGGTCGAAGAGTGAAGTTCTGGACCAGAGGTGTTTTAAAATAAAATATAGCTATAGCTAAATTGGTTTAATTTGGGAGTCTGGGAAGGGCCTAGAAAGCTGAAGACAAAAAAATCTTTCCTGGCATTTTATGTAGATACTGGCATGATTTTTGTAGGATGATAACCTGACGTATAAGGGGCTGTCTGCCATAGTGGAGATCTGCAGAAGAGTTGAAGAATTTACTGGCTGGGCAAAAGTAAATTCTGGAAGGTGAATTTGACGGGTTTAGTGAGACTGCAGGAATTGTACCCATGTATAGCTGTGGTCAAATTAGGGTTTCCTGCATGGGGGCAAGTGTTTAGAAAAATTTTCCATTACTCCAGCATTTGAGAGTGACCACTCCTCTCCAGTCCTTCTACCCAAAGGCAGGATTAAGTGTGAAACTGGTACAAAGTATCCTAAATAACCTTTACAAATTCTGTAGTGTTGAGACAAGCGGGTGAGTGGTGTGCAAACAGGTAGGAAAGCAGCTCCCACCCTCACCCCAGTTAGAGTTTTCAGTATTAGGATTGCAAGCCAATTTTCTAATCCGGTGTAATTTGTTCCACACACAACAAATGATTCACAAATGTAATTATTAAAAAGTTTGCTTTCTATCCAGTTTCTCACTTTGAATGTTAAACACAAGTAGAATCACGTCCATACGCTATCCACATACTCCCCAATTAGGGAATTTACTTTTTAGGCAACACTCAAATTCTTAACTTCAGAAGAGATTGGGAACAGATTTGTGGTGAATAGCTTTTGCAACTGGAGGAAGGCATGTAGTGGAGCTCCCCCAGGACAGGTACTAGGACTGCTGCTTTTCTTGATCTACATTAATGACTTAGACTTAGGTGCACAGAGAACAATTTCAAAAATTTGCAGTGGCATGTACAAAATGGACTAAATAGCCTCCTGTGCCATAATTATTGATTCCATAAATTCAGCAATCGAGCAGCGTTTTCTTTGCATGGTGCTCTTACCTTCTGTATATTTTTGCTTTTTGTAAATTACCTTTGGGAATAAAATTATTTTGTACAGATTGGTATGTGAGGAAGGCTGTTGTTTAATTTGAAATACTATAGTTCAAAACCTAGTTGAATTGATGCAGCTTTTGAATGTCACCTGGAATGGAGACTTCCAGCTTTGTTGGGGGAAGCAGAATCACCCAAGAGGTTGAAGCTGTATGAGTCTAGTGCTAGCTTTAGTTTGAATTTTTGCCATGTTGAATCATTTCATGGGAAATGATTGAAACATCACATTAATAGAAGCCAGCAACTATAACAAGGCAGAAGTTTCTATCCAGATGTTAGGATAGTGTATATCAAGCAAAAATGAGGATAGCAGCTGACCAGTGTACACTCCAGGACTTAAGTATCAGGAATGTAACACGACGCTCACTGAGCTGGTTAATTAGTTTGCAGACGTTTCATTACCCTGCTGGATAACATCCTCAGTGCAGCCTCCAATGAAGCGCTGTTGTGTTTTTCTGCCTGGTATTTAAACTCTGGAGTCCGTGTGGAGTTGATTACCTCATTTCTAGTTTTTCTTCGCAGTGATTGTGTATATAGGGTCTAATTTGTCATGTTTACTGATGGCCTTCTTGGTGGAGAACCAGGCCTCTGGAAATACCCATGCTTGTCTCTGTTTGGCCTGTCCTAGGATTTGACGTTGTCCCAATAGAACTGATAGTTCTCCTTATCCATGTGAATGGAGACAAGTGAGTACTGGGCATGTCTTTTTGTTACTAGGTGGTGGTCATGTTTTCTTGTGGCCAGCTTCCTCCTCGTCTGTCCAATGTAATGTTTGTCGCAGTCCTTACAAGAAATCTTGTATATCATGTTGGTTCTGTCCATAGTGGGTAAGAGGTCTTTGGTTTGAGTTAGCAGTTGGTGTAAATTTGTGTGCCACTTTGATGACCAGTGGTGTTAGGAGTCTTGTGGTCAGTTCAGATATGTTCTTGATGTACGGTAACGTGACAAGTGTAGTAGGGCATACTGTATCTTTTGTTGTGTGTGAGATTTTCACACCCCTTCATTTGTGGGTGTTGGGGCGGTTACTGTTGAAATTCAGGACTTGATCTGTGCGTATGGCCATTCTTTGTACTTTCGTCAGAAATTCCCCTGTTGGCCCTGCATTCTACCATGATGTCCAGGAATGGGCGCTGTTCATTCCTTTCTTCTTCCCTGGTGAATTTGATACAGTTAGTGTGTCTCCTCTAGTTTAATCCATTTGATGGCAAAAGTGTCATCCATGTATCGGATCCATAGTTTAGGTTGAATCTGTGCAAGGGCCATGCTTTCAAATCTCTTATCACCGCTTCTACTGTTAGTCCGGAGATGGGTGACCCCATGGGTGTCCCGTTGATTTGTTCATAGATTTGGCCATTAATGATAAACTGGGTCGTGAGGCACAGGTCCAGTAGTTTCAGCATTTTGTCTATGGAGATGGTGTTTCTCAGGTCTCGTTCTTTTAGTAGTGTTGCTCGTGTTTCTCTTGGCAGTGGTACGTCAATTGATTGTGAATAGGGCGGTAATGTCAAAAGGACATACCCCGATTCTATGGCCTCCCAAAGGTACACAAACCGGAAGTACCCATCAGACCGACAATCTCCCACCCAGGTTAGCGAAGGAATTACAACCACGACTAAAGCATCTCATCAGCGACTCAATCCATTCAGCCCATCAAAGAAATAAGAATAGATGAGGATGAGACCATGGTATCCTTTGATGTTACTGCCTATTCACATCGATTGACCTACCACTGGCAAGAGAAACACCACTAAGAGAACAAGACCCGAGAGAAAACATCTACACAGAGTTTAAATACCAGGTGAGAAAACATAACAGCGCTTCATCAGAGGCTGCACTGATGATGTTACCCAGCAGGGTAATGAAATGTCTGCGAACTAACGAACCAGCTTGGTGAGCAAACCAACTACAGCATCCACAACACAAGCTACAAATCTATTCAAGAACCTTAATGTAACACTATAGTATTAATTCACTTCAGATATTATGGAATACCCATGAAATGAATCTAAAACTGTTTTAACTTTCACCAAGCCTTGTTTACCTACCATCATTGTGCTCCCCCTGCAATACAATTGCAGTTGATCAAACACCAGTGCCGTTTGGCCGATCCTTTACATAGTATCATCTTTTCAAATCTCTACCATGCCTACATTCTTCAGCTCTTCTAATTCTGGCCTAGTTAGAATCTGCCCAGTTTATCACTATCAATGGCAACTATGATTTGTCATTTAAACCAGAGCTCTGGAGTTCCCTCCCACACGAGACTCATTGAAATAAATTCCATCATTTTATTAAGAAACTATCTCCCTCCAAAAATATTCAAGGACACTTGTCAAATGGTGGTTCAAAAAGTGTTCCTAAACACAACCCTCAAATGTTTCCTCCGTTCCAAATGGGCAATCAAAACATGACTGTTTTAGATTTTCCAAAGTGAGGAAACCTCCTTTCTTGTACCTTGTGAAGGCACATCAGATGTTATGTCTCCATCAAATCACCTCTTATTCTTTAAGCTTCACTTGATACAAGACTAGTCTGTCCAACCTTTTCTGAACCTGCTCATTCCAGATATTAAACCTCAATTATTTCTAACACATTTACATCCTTAAATAAGGAGACCATATTGTGTATAATACTGCAGATGTGGTTTCACCAATGCCCTGTAAAGCCAAAGCATAACCTCCTTACTTTTGTATTCAATTCCCCTTGCAATAATTCCAATTACTGCTTGTATCTGCATACCAACCTCTTGTGATTCATGCATTAGGACACCCAGATCTCTCTATGTTAAGCTTTTGAAATAATGATTTAGATACTTTGTCAAAATGGACCATTTAACACTTGCCAGATCTTCGACCACGCAAACTACCTGATCCCTTTGTACTCTGTCTTCCACAAAATTTTACATTCTTACCAGAAAATGACCCATTCATGGCTTTTGTTTCCTGTTAGCATACTGCCCTGGATAGAAGATTGACGAGCTATCTCATATACAAACTTTTTATTTTCTGCTCCAGCTTTCTGAATCCAGTACATCCCCTAATTTCCAGTTACCTACATCACCTATTATTCCTCAAAACACTCATTAGTTAAACATGATTTCCCTTTCCCAAAAATCACTGTCTGCCTGATTACTTTGAATCTTTTCTAACTGCCCTCCTGTAACATTTTGTTTTTAGTTCCTAAAATCTGCCATAGGGATGATGCTAAGCTAACAGGCCTGTAACTTCCTGTTAGTCTCTTTTTTGATTTTTTTTTTTTTTTAAAATTGCTACATTCAATCCTCCAACCTAAAAAGGAGTCTTCCCTGAATCTGGGGGATTTTGCAAAATTAAAACCATACAATCAGCAAGCTTGCTACTTTTAAGACACTGGGAGGAAGACCATTTAGACCCAGGCATTTGTCCGCCTGTAGCTCCAACCATTTACTACTTCTCCAATTGTAATTTTCTCCAATTTTCCCTTCCATCTTCTGAATGACGGTTATTTCTGGGATGTTACTTATATCCTCCAATAAAAATCAATGCAAAATACCTGCTCAATTAATGTGCCATCTCAATTCTGTTAGTTCTCCAGACTCTCTCTACATAGGAAACATGCTGACTTCTTAATGCCAACTATTTATCGAACTCTTCTATTCCTAGCCAGTGCTCTCTAGTACTCAGCAATTTTCCCCTCTATTTTTGTTACTTTTTATATTCTAGTTTTCTGACCGGACATTCATCTTTGCATAATTATGCTTTTTTTTCCCTTTGAAGCTTGATACCATCCTTAACCAATTTTTTACTTAGTCACATATAGTGGGATGTCTCCTTGGAATTTAGTTTTTCAGTAATATACTTAAGGAGCTATTTCAGAAATATATATATGTCTCTGCAACTCGATCTGTTTGCTAGATCAATTTCCCAGTTTATTTTAGTTATCTCTACTTCCGTGCCTTCATAATTGTTCTTACTAAAGTTTGAAATAACAGTCCTTGACTTGCTTTTATCAAGCTCAAGCAGAATATGAAATGCAGCCATTGTGGTCCCTTCATTATAGAATCATTCATTAATTCTATCATGTTACACAATATTATGTCTAGTATCCTGCTGTCTGGTTGGCTTCAAAACATGCTGTTCCAAGAAACTATACAGGAAACATTTTATGAACTATAGGAATATTAGAGCAAGAGTATGCTATTTAGCCTGTTGAGCCTATCCTTCCATTCAGTATAGTCATGGCTGATCAATGTCTTTTACCCATCCCATCTCTATAACCCTTTTTGCCATTGTTAATCAGAAATCTATCAACCTCTATCTTAAAACATAACGATTGAGCTTCCACAGGCCTAGGAGTAGAAACAATTTTCATCACTGTCATAAATGGCCCCATTATTTTTATAATTGTGTACCCTGGTTCTAGACTCCCCAGGTAAGGGAAGCACTTTATTTGAATCTACCTGTCTATCCCTTAAAAGTATTTGTGAGATTTCATTCTTTGAAACTCGAGAATACAGGCCCAGTCTGCCTGATCTCTCTCCACAGGATAGTCCTGCCATCTCAGAAACAAGTCTGGTGGACCTTTGCACTCCCTCTACGGCAATACGTTTTGGAATAAGGAGACTAAAACTGCACGTGGTACTCCGGGCACAGTCAAAGCAAGCTCCTACACAAATTGAAACAATACTTCACTACACTCGTAACGAGATTCTCTTGCAATAAAGACTAACTTTGCATTAGTCGTGTGTTATGGCTGCTTCTATATCTTAACTTAGGTTGTGACTCTGCATTAATAACTAATGTAGAGCCACCTGTCACCTTACATCCACCTTTAACATGGTACCATTTAGTTTATAGTGTTTGTACTGCTTAAAATGTATTACATTTAATATCTTTAGGGTCAATCCATATCTGTCTTTTATGGGCCTGTTGATCAGAGTTGGTGTGAGGATGAGAGATAAGGAATGGCAAGATGTGAGAACCTTGATGTCAAGAGATATTGAAAGATTATTCAAAAAGAAAAAAGGCAGCATATGTAAGGTTTAGAAAACTGAAATCAGACATGGCCCTTGAGGAATACAAAAGCAGGAAAGAACTTAAAACAGGAATTAGGAAGGTGAAAAGGGATTATGAAATGCCTTTGGCAAGTAGGATAAAGGAGAATCCAAAGGCATTTTATGTATATATAAGGAGCAAGAGGGCAGCTAGGGAAAAGTCCAGTCAAGGACAAAGGAGGGAATTTATGCACGGAGGCAGAGGAAGTGAGCAAGATGTTGAATGAGCACTTCACATTGGTATTCACCGAGGAGAAGGAAATGGATGATGATAAGATTTGGGAGTGGTATGTTGATATTCTAGGGCATGTTGATATTAAGAGGAGGTATTGAGTGTCTTGAAAAACAGGAAGGGTGACAGGTCCCCAGGGCCTTTGGGATCCATTCCAGGATATTAAGGGAGGTGATTACTGCGGCCTTGATCTTTGTATCCAGTTTAGCCCAGGAGAGGACTCAGAAAACTGGAGAATAGCCAATGATGTTCTTTTAAGAAGGGCAACAAGAATAATCCAAGAAAATATAGGCCATTGAGCATGATGCTTTTTGGGAGGTCAAATGTAAGAGGAAAGTAGTAAATGGCAGGACCCTTGGGAGCATAGATATACAGAAGGATCTTGAGGTGCAAGTCCATAGCTCCCTGAGAGTGGCAACCACTGGAGAAGGTGGTAAATGGCATGCTTGCCTTCAACAGTGAGGGCATTAAGTGTAAAAGTTGGCAAGTCATATTGCTGTTGTATAAACTGCAGTTAGGTCACATTTAGAGTGTGGTGTGCAGTTCAAGTCATCACATCATAGGAAGGATCTGGAGGGTAAAGCAGTTGCATACGAGGTTTTATCAGGATGTTGCCTGAATTGGAGTGTATTAGCATTAAAGGAGAGGTTGAACGAACTTGGATTTTTTTTTCACTACAATGGAGGAGGCTTGTACAAGTACATATAATCAGGAGAGGCATGGATAGGGTGGATAGTAGGAGTCTTTTTCCCTCGGGTGGAAATGTCAAATACTAGGGGGCATAGGTTTAAAGGAGATGAGCAAGGCAAGTTTATTTTTAAAAAGCAGAGGATGGTAGTTTCCTGGAATGTGCTGCCAGGGGAAGTGGTAGAAACAGACACAATAGCAATGTTTAAGACAGACACATGACAGGCAAGGCATAGAGGGATATGGACCACATGCAGGCAGATGAGATTAGTTTAGAACAGCATCATGGTTGGTGCAGATGTGGTGGGCCAAACAGCTGTTCCTGTGCTGTACTGTTTTATGTTCTTTAAATTTAAACTTACCCACCTGAAACCTTACAGTACCTGCCTTTTTTCACAAGTTTGAACTGACTAAACTTGAAAATACAGTGAACAGTGTCAACCATAAACTTTGACCTGGAACAAAAGCAGAAATTGCTAGAGAAACTTAGCAGGTCTGACAGCATCTGCAGAGTTAAATGTTTCAAGCCTTGTAATTGTTCATCATTAGTTGTTCTATTTATGACCTGGGCCTTATTCTTTGAAATTATGCATTGTATTACCATTATCCTTCCAGCAGCAATACGACGTTCAGTTACTGTTAATGAGACACATGGAAAACACCAGTAAATATGCAAGTTCTCTACCAATTTAAAGCACCTTTAATAGAAAAACTGCTATTTCATAAAATAGAGTCTATGTGGAAAGAGGCACAAAAACAGGCACTCAGATCATTCTCAGACTTGTGGATAGACATTCACTTCCTCATTCCCTTTGCCTTCTGCTCACAGCGCTCAGTGATACATTTGAACCAAACCCATCTTACAGCCCATATGCACTAGTGATCAGGAACAGCACACTCTTGGTTACTGTACAGTCCAGTCCTTGGCTATTGCAACATTTTCCGGTGTACCTGATTTATTTTAAAAAAAAACAGTACATTTTCTCTCTTTCATGCCTGCCTCTCACATACAGCCAACCTCCTTTGTGCAGGGGGTGTTCAGGCCCCTGCCCTAGACTGGTTTTAGATTGGTAGTACCAGTATGCTGAGAACCCTGGTACAGTTCTTCAGCTGCCAATTGGGTTCTGATTAGCAACAACCTGTCCCATTCCAGCTGATCCTTCTCAGGCTTTATGAATAAGTCTAATCTGTTGCCTTAATTGTTTAAAAGTGCAGTTAAACTGCTTACTAAGTCTCTGAGCCTCAAACAAGATCAAAAATCCTGGCTTCCAGAACCTTCCCCCAGTTTGTTTATTAACAATAAACATATTGACCTTCTAGGAGTATGTATTTAACATCAATGGATATTCTGTGCAATTAGCCTTGGACAGTCCAGTCTGAACAATTCACTTACCAGTCTTGCTGTCAGCTTCTCCCAATACCACAACTAGCTTCAAAAGCAGCAAAATCACAAACAGCCATCCAAAACAAGTAAAATGATCTGCAGTTATTCAACCACAATAGTCAACACATCTGTTTCAAGTCATCATTTGAGTTTATGTTTGAACTTTTCTGCGGTCATCAAAGAGACTTTTCAACATGTAGACTTGGACAACTGATACCACCAGCATCACTCCCAAATTGATAGCTGACCAGAAATTGACTCTATCCAAGTTGCCCTCTTGCAGGTTGCGATCCCGTGCCTCGAAGGCTCGGAGAATGGCCTGAATCTGCACACTTTTTGCCAGTTTTGTGTTCATGTTTCCAATCGACTCCTGAAAAAGAGTATGATCAACAGTTAGTGAAGGAAATGCTAACTGTAGCCAGCAAGTATAAACCATTGTAAAGACAAAGAAAAGATTTACATCAGCATTTAAGAAGCTTGAATTACAAGGAAAGACTATAAACATCAGAAGAGTTGATAAATAAGGTTCAATAGGTGTTCCAATTAGGAATTCCCTCCCTAATGGTATTGTGGGTCAATCCACTGCAGGTGGACTGCAGCAGTTCACCACCACCTTCTCAAGGACAACTAGGGACAGGTAATGCTGACCCAGCCAGCGATTCCCATATCCCATATCCCATGAATTCAAAAAAAGGTAAAAGAGAGGGTCCATCCAGGGCCTCCTTTAGTGTCACAATGATGCCACCCGCAAACTGGAGGAGCAGCATCTCATATTCCACCTCGGGAGCCCTTCAGCCCAATGGCCTAAATGTGGACTTTACCAGTTTCAAAATCTCCCACCCCCAGCCTCATCCCATGACCAACCCTCCCTCTCATCCTCACCTTCTTGACCTGACACAACCTGTCCATCTTCTCTCCCTCTTCCCACCTCACTGACCAATCCCCACCACTCCCTACCTACATTCACCTATCACCATCCCACCTACCTTCCCTCAGCCTCACCCTTCTATTTATTTCTGAGCTCCCTTCCCCCTTCCCCATTTTTGAAGAAGGGTCCTGACCCAAAACATCAACTTTCCTGCTCCTCTGATGCTACCTGGCCTGCTGTGTTCCTCCAGCTCCACGCTGTGTTATAAAAGAGAGGGAACCTCTTTTCACTAGTTGGAGTCTGTAAATGGACTTTATAAATTTCAAGATGGTGGGAGGTAAAGCGATCTGGAGGCATTAGGAAACGCATTCCTCCCCCTATAGGAGAAAAGGTCATTAGGACAACAAGTTCCCAAAAGAAATAAAGAGTGGGTAAATATTTGAAAGGGAACATTAATGATTAATGGATTAAAAAAGGTCCCTTTTGTGCTAAAAGATTGTTTTTATGCTTCCCTCAAACAGCTCTTCCTGCTACCGTTACAGCCTTTCAAAACTGAAGTTTGTGCTCCTAAAGTACGACCTCATCTGGGCATATTTAGTGCTATTCGTATTCACATTATCTATTTCTCCATTTCCTCCTCTTCCACCCATTCCTACCAGATGTGTGCAAAAGACATCATTCTGGGGAAGAAGCTGTATTCAATTTTTAAGACTTTCTAATACTCCATTCCATTTCCATAGCATCTGACAGTACTCCCTTACGCACCTGGTAAAGCATAACAGCTTTAGACATGGTGCGTTTGCTGACTTACCTTGATATCATCTACTTTAACGTCCAGTAGCTCTTCTGGTTCCACAATCTCTGACCAGTCCTCCTCAGCATCATCAAAAATCACTTCAAAGAAGATCACCTTCTCAGAAATGGTACTAAAAGAATTGTCAAAGCAGATTTTGTAATCGCCAATAATTGTAGGCTCGATCCTGAAAAGTAAATTGGATAAAATGAGTTTGGAGCTCAATTCACCTTGCTGTCCCAGACAATAAACAACTAAAAACACAAATCAAAAATATACTCAAATTTCAACTGGACTACAAATAAACAAAATTAACCTATTTATTATAGCACCTTTAAGTTATTAAAACACCCAGGTAGCTCATGGGAGTAATTACAGACAAATATTTTATACAGTCACAAGAAAATACCAGGGTAATGATCAGAGGTGGATTTTAGGAAGCAGCAAAGAGAGAGGGGCAGAATGGTTTACAGTGAATCCCAAGCTTAGGGTTAACCACCTGTTGACTGCATAACTAATGATGGAGTAATTACAATCAGGGATGCACAAGTGACCACAGTTGGAAGAAATAGAGGAATTTTGAAAGGTTTTAGGGGACGAGAGAGATACGGAAATGATTTTTAAAAAAGGAATTTGAAATTATACAAATTTTAGAATTAGCTCACAATCAACAAATGAGCCAATGCAAGTCATCCAGCACAGAATTTCCACAGGATAATACTAAAAGGAGTAGCAGCAGGCCATTCAACAGCTTGAGCCGTTACCATCATTCCAATAAAATCATGGTTGATCTGAATGTAGATTTAACTCCACTTTCCTGACTGGCTTCCATAACCTCCTAGATCAAAAATCTGTCTAACTCAGCTTCTATTTCCCAGTATGGAATAGTTACCCTTGTTCATTTGTTAAATATGGTTAACAATAGGGTTTGATTTATGTAACGATGGATCATATTTCATTTCTGAACCCATTTGTTTCTAAAATACACAGCCCAGACTCAATTTAGATATTGCATTCAGGAACCCTTCTCTAATGAGAGATTCACATAATAGTGCCATGCATTTTGAAGGCCAAGTGCAGTTTACACTGGAAAAACCAGGCAAAGTGGATACAAATATTGCACTTCACTCAAAGGCAGGCCTCCTCCACAACAGGCACTAGAATCTGCAGTACGGGAACCCTGGAAACCAAAGTTCTAGTTGCACTCAGTACCCAAGATGTTGAGTTGTGCAGTTTTACAAGGATCCCAAAAGGTCCCACTTTGTATTTAACTAGGTGACCTCCATTAAGGTGATGGTAGTTACAGCTGACCTCAACATTACGGAGTTACAATTGGGAATTCAGAAAGGATTCCTGCCCTTCATGATTGAGTTTACAAACTGCACACACAGGTGAGGATAGGATTGAGTTCCACTTGGTCCAAATATTTCAGCTGCTTCAATGGCCTTCCCTTATTGGAGAACAAGTCCACATGGTCAGAACTGGGGATCCTCACTTACATTTACACATTATTCAGCACCATTCATGACACCTCAGATACTGAAGCAGTTTGTGCTCATATAACAGCAAGGCCTGAAAAATATCCAGGTTTGGGATGAAAAGAGGCAAGTAACATTCACACTACGCAAAATGCTAGAGAATAACAATCACCAACAAGAGAGAATCTCATGTTGTCCCTTGACATTTCAATGGCATTACCATCACTGAATTCCCAACAATCAGCATCCTGGCGTCTATTATTGACCAAAAACCAAACTGGATTAGTTATACCGATAGGCACTTCGGATCACAATGCTGTGTTCCTCCTCCCAGTTTACGAGCAGAATTTGAAACGAGCACCCATCACAGAAAGTAGTACAGTGCTGGTCTGAGGCAGCGGAAGAGCTTCTCTGGGACTGCTTAGAATCAGTGGACTGGACCACATTCAAGAATTCAGCAGACAACCTAGACAAGTACGCCATCATTATCACGGGCTTCATTAACAAGCATGTACAGGACTGTGTACCAAAGCAGTCAATCTGTATATTCCCAACGGGAAACCTTGGATGAACCTGGACTAGTTACTGAAGACCAGGAGTGTGGCATTCAAGTCAGACGACCCAGACATATACAGGAAATTCAGATAAGTCCATACAAGGCCATCAGAGATGCCAAGCGGCAGTATCGGACCATGTTAGAGGCCCAAACTAGCCACACGGATACACGCCACGTGTCACGAGGCTTACACGACAACCGGATACAAAATGATGCAGAACAAAATAGTAGACAAAAGCACATCCCTCTCTGATGTACTCAATGCTTTTTATGCCAGGCTCAAGCAGAGCACCAGTGGCCCTGGATGCATTTGTTCCCTCAGTCCCCACTGCAGACATCGGATTGGCCTTCTTGACAGTGAACCCAAGGGAAGCAACTGGCCCAAACAGAGTTCCTGGCTGTGCACTCAGATCCTGTGTGGATCAGCTAACAGAAGTATTTGTTGACACATTTAACCTCTTCTTGCTAAAATATTTAGTCCCCACTTCTTCAAGACGACCATTATCTTAGTGCCAAAGAAAACACATGCAACATGCCTAAATGAATACGGTCCGGTGGCACTGACCTCCATAATCATGAAGTGCTTCACATCAACTCTAGCCTCCCAGCCTGCCTCAATCCCTTGCAATTTGCCTACTGACAAAACAGGTCCACAGCGCCATTTCCCTAGCCTTACACTCATCTCAGAACATCTGCCTAACAAGGATACCTACGTCAGGCTCCTACTTGTCAACTACAGCTCTGCCTTCAACACTATAGTCGTAACCAAATTAATCTCAAAACTCCAAGACCTAGGTCTCGGCTTCGCCCTCTGCAACTGGATCTTCAGCTTCCTGACCCATAGACCGTAATCATTGACGACAGACAACTGTAACTCCTTCACGATAACAGTCAACACTGGAGCTCCCCAAGGATGCGTCCTCAGCCCCTTACTGTACTCCCTGTACACTCAACTGTGTGGCCAAATTTCACAAACGCCATCTACAAGTTTGCTAATGACACCACCGTTGTACGCCTGATATCAAACAATGACGAGTCAAAATATAGGAAGGAGATAGAATGCTTGGCGTCGTGTTACAATGATAACAATCTGTTCCTTAATGTCAGTAAAACTAAAGAACTGATCATTGGCTTCAGGAAGAAAGGAGAGAACACACCCCTCCATACATCAACAAGGCTGAGATGGAGAGGGTTGAGAGCGTCAAGTTCCCAGGAGTGACGATAACTAACAATCTGTCTGGGACCTCCCACGTAGATGTGACGGTCAAGGAGACACAACAATGCCTCTTCTTCCCCAGGAGGCTTAGAAAATTCAGCATGTGTGTAAGGACCCTCATCAACTTTTACAGATGCACAATAGAAAGCATTCTATCTGGGTGCATAATAGGTTGGTATGGCAACTGCTCTGCCCAAGGACAGTAAGAAACTACAGAAAGTTGTGTGCACAGCGCAGACCGTCACAAAAGCCAACTTCCCATCCATGGACTCCATCCACACTTCTCATTGCCATGGAAAGCCTGCCAACAAAGACTCGTCCCAGCCTGGTAATACGGTCTTCCAGCCTCTTCTGTCAAGCAGAAGATACAGAACCTTAAACACACATACCAACAGGGTCAAGAACAGCTTCTTCCCTGCTCTTATTAGACTGCTGAATGGACCTCTCTAATTTCAAATCTAATGTTGATCTTGCTTTTGTGCACCTCCTGTGCAGCTATAACCCTGTATGCCTCGCTCTGTCTAAACACCCTATGATCTTTATGCCCTGTGTGTGTTATGATTTGCCTGTACTGCTTGCAAAACAAAAAACTTTTCACTGTACTTAGGTACATGTGACAATAAATCAAATCAAATCAAATCTGTAAGTGACTCCAACAGAAGATCAGAATAGCTAGGAATACTGTAATAAATAACTTAATTCTGACTCCCCAACGTCTGTGCACTATCTACAAGTCAAGAGGGTGATGGAAAACTCCACATTTGCCTTCAGGAATATAGCTCCAACAAGAACCTTGACACTATCCAGGACAAAGTAGTCTGTTTGATTGGCACCACATCCACTTCATGCTCCAGCGATGCTCAGTAACATCTGTGTGTACTATTTACAAGATGCACTGCAGAAATTCACCATGGTTCCTTAGACAGCACCCTCCAAACCCATGACCACTACCATCTAGAAGGACAAGGGAATACCAGCACCTGCAATTTCCCGTCCAAACCACTCACCATCCTGACTTGGAAATATATGCTGTTCCTTCAGTGTCACAGGGTCAAATCTTGGAATTCCTTCTCTAATGGCATTGTGTGTCAACCTCCAGTCAATGGCTGCAGTGGTTTAAGACAACAGCTCACCACCACCTTCTCAAGGGTAACCAGGGCCAATAAATGCTGGGCAAGCAAGTGACACCCAAATTCCTCAAGTGAATAAAAGAAACTGCACACATGGGCATTGGGTTATGAGAAGACCGAGTTCCACTATGATTCGCTTTACAGCAAAATAGCTTGCCAAAATGAGACCGATAGCCCCAGTAGTCATTCCTTGTGTATCAGAAGGTTAGTGAACTGCAGTCCCGCTTCTACTTATACAGTCATAAAATCAAATACTGTGGAAACAGACCCTTCAGTTCAACTAATCTACAGCAGCCATGTTCCCAAACTAAACTAGTCTCACTTGCCTGTGTTTGGCCCCCGCCCAAACCTTTCTAAATAGCTTTTAGATGTTACAACCGTATCTACTACTTCCTCTGCCAGTTCATTCCACATACAAATCACTCCTAAAATGTTGTCCCTCATGTCCTTTTTACATCTTCTTCTCTCACCTTAAAAATATGCTCCCTGGTCTTGAACTCCTCTACCCTAGGAAAAAGACCCTTGCTAGTCTATGCCAGTCGTGATTTTTTTTACAACTCTACAAGGTCACCCCTCAATCTCCTAGACGCCAGTGAAGAAGTCCCAGCCTATCCTTATAACTCAAAATCTCCATTCCTGGTAAATCTTTTCTGAACCCGCTCCAATTTAATAATATCCTTCCCACGGCACAGTGATGAGGACTGTACACAATACTCACCAACATCCTGTACAAGCTTAACATGACATCCCAATTCCTATACTCAAAGGTCTAAGCAATAAAGGCAAGTGTGCTAAATGCCTTCCTAAGGATTGCCTTCTTATACTGACAGTATAAATTCCAAGCAGAGTAGAACAACATCGCTTCATCAGAGGCTTCACTGATGATGTTACCTAGCATGGTGACAAAATGTCTGAACAAAAACAAGCCAGCTCAGCGAGCAAGTCAACAACTTCGCCTTCTTAGGCACCCTGTCTACATGTGATGCAAATTTCAAAGAATCATGTACCTGAACCCCTAGATTTCTCTGTTCCACAACACCACCCAGGGCCCTACCATTAGTTGCAGAAGTCCTACCCTTGTTTGTTTCACCAAAATACACTCATCCAAATTGAACTCCACCTGCCACTCCTCAGCTCACTGGCCCAATTGATCAAGATCTCTTTGCAATCTTAGATAACCTTCTTCACTGTCCACTATACCACCAACTTTGCTGTCATTCGCAAACTTACTAGCCGTGTCTTTTATATTCTCATCTAAATCATAAATGACAGAAGTGAACCCATTGTGGAAGATCACCGATCACAGGCCTCCAATCCGAAAACAACTCTCCACCATCTCCATCTGTCTCCTATTGTCAAGCCAATTTTATATCCAAGCTTTCCCTGAACCCCACGTAATCAAACTTTACTCATTAATCTACCATGCAGAGCCTTGTCAAAGTTATACCTTTGAGTTCAGAATCACAGACTATACACAGAACCGATGGGCAGAAGGCTAATTGGGGGCATTCTCAGAGGTGCTAAGTACTCACATATGGACACCATCAGACTTCCTTGATTCCACGATCAGACTTTCACCAACAGGACTAAACACAGTAAAATCAACATCCAATCCAGCACCTCCAATAACCTGTGGATAAAGCACAAGCCAAGCTCAGAAACATAATATACTGCATGATTTATCCCGGCAGTTAAAGTTTAGCAGTCGCAACAAATGGTTTGTGTATTACAGCTCAGTTTACAACTGGAGAAAATGGAGGTCAACAAGATCACGATTTAATAGTTGAACCAAATCTCGGGGGTTTTGTGGGGAGAGGGGAGTGGGGAGAGGAGGGGAGTGTGGGGGGCGAGCACAGTGCCAAAGGAGCACTTCCCTCGAAGTGAACTCAGTGCCCAGGCCAGGGCTGGCAATGGGGACATTCTCCGTATCCGAGGTTTGGAGAGCTCGGGTCTTCTAGCTTGCTGTATGGCCAATACTTTGCCCTGAATCTCCGGGCCCACCTGGTATTCCAGCTCCATGCTACTGTTGTATCCGGCATTTTGGTAAAAACATTCCTCTCTGCCCGGCGGCAACACGAAGGTAAACTCGGAGTCGGAAGGCTGGCCAAAAGACACGACCTCCAAGAGATTTACCGACACCACAAACAGAAAAACTACACCCCATTCACCAAACCCCAGCCCCATCTTGAGTCTGAAACTTACCCCCAAACTTTCCACTTCCGCAAAACTCAGGGCGCAGCAGATTGGCCGTCAGGACTCAGAGATCGCAGAGTAGTGTCCAATCAGTGTCTCTGTTCCCCCGAATATCCAATCAAGTACAGACAGATGGTCATCGCTGTAATTCATGTTGAGGAATCCAACGATCAAGTTGGAGCTGCAAATGCTGAGGGGGTTCCAGGGGCTTTTGTGGTGCAGTGGTAGCATGCTTATCTCTGAACCAGGCGTTCAAGCCTCGGAGAGTGCAATAACATCACTGAAGAAATTGAATGTAAAATATAACCAGGTTTTCGTGGTGAACAATATCTTTCCTAAAGAAGATCGACCAGCATTGTATGCAGTGGTCTCACCATTGTCCTTTACAGCCGCAATACGACGTCTAAACTCCTGTATTCAGTGTTCAGTTAATTAATCAAATCTGATGTTGTGAAAATAGCGAGAGAGAGGAACACTAAGGAGAGCAACTCTTGACAACTGTGCCCTTGTAACTGATAACCTCACAGCAACAGTCATCATGCCCCAACATTTCCTTAAGAAGCATTATACTTCGGCTGTAAATAGCTCAGAGGAGATTTACTAGACAGATTCTTACGATGAAGGGCTTTTCTTCTGAAGAAGGGTTGCGCAGGTTATGCCAAATACATTTGATCATTAAAGAATGAGAGGTGATCTTATAGAAATAGTTGTGTCCAAGGAAGCTTGAAAGAGTGGATGCTGATTGGATATTTTCTCTGGAAGAGGAATCTACAACTAGAGAAAACAATTTAAATATAAAGGAGTGTCCCAAATAACTCAAAATGAGAAGGACTTTTTTTCTGTCAAAGGGTTGTGAGTTTTGGAATTCTCATTGAATGTATTCAAGGCTGAGTTAGATGTGATTGACGAAAGAGTCAGGAGTAGGGGGACAAGAAAGTGCCTTTAATTCGATCTGGCATAATCACAATGACTGATGAGTAATCTCAATACTCCTTTATGATCCAGTCTTTTGAATCCATAATAAAGAATATGATAACTCAATATTTCATAAAGTTAGGCAGTCAACCTGGTTTTATGAAAGGGAACATAGGAGCAAGAGAAGGACATTCAGCCTCTTGATTTTGCTCAGCCATTCTAAATAAAGCCTGATTCCTTTATTCATTCATGGGATGAGGGCATCACTGGCTGGGCAGCATTTTTTGCCCATCCCATCACATTGCTGTGGCCAGAACAGCAGTTTCCTTCCCTAAAGGGGATTAGTGAACCACATGGGTTTTTCCAACAATTGGCAATGGAATCATGGTCATCATTAGACCCTTAGTTCCAGATATATATTGAATTCAAATTCTGCCATGGACGGCATTTGAACCCAGGTCCCCAGAACATTACCTGGGTCTCTGAATTAACAGTCCAGCGATCATACCACTAGGCCATCACCTCCCCACATCTTTTTTGGATTTTCACATGATCCCCATATCCCTTGATATCATTAGTACCGAGAAATATAGCATTTTTTGTCTTTAAATTACTCAATGACTGAGCTTCCACAACTGTCTGGAGTTGAGAATTCCAAAAATTCACCATCCCCTCAGTGAAGAAGTTCCTCCTCATCTCAGTACTAAATGGCTTGCCTTTTATTCCGAGATTGTGTCCCCTGGTTCTGGACCCCACAGCAAGGGGAAACACCCTTTCTGTGACTATCCCTTTAAGAATTCTGTAAGTTATTATAAGATCACTTTCATTCTTTTAAAGTTTAGAGAGTAAATGCCCGGTCTTGTTAGTGTCTCTTGATAAGACAGCTCTACCATCCTGGGAATCAGTTGAGTGAACGTGCGATGCATTTCTTCTTTGATCAGTATACTCTTTCTTAGGCAACCAGGTCAAAATAAAAAACAATACGCCTGTTTCAGTCTCATAGTGTCCTATACAATTGAAGGCTTAGAACACAGAACATAGCATAGGAACGGGCCCTTTGGCTCACAATGTTGTGCTGAACATGACACCAAATGAAACTAATCCCTCCTGCCTGCTATTCTTCCATATCCCTGCAGCTTCTTTGCAGTTGTATTCAAATCTTTTTGTGATGAAAGCTAACATACTATTTGTCTTCTGAATTGCTTGCTGCACCTACATGTTAGCCTTCAGTGACTTATGAACATAGACATCCAGGTGCCTTTGGCCATCAACACTTTCCAAATCTGCTCAATGTATGAACACTGAGATACCTCTCATGTTATAGACAACCAAGCAAGTGGGAAATGCCAACGACTGGAGGAACTTCAGCTCTGAGTGTTGGAGTTTAGCATTAGCTGGTGTCACTGTAGCAAATCCACAATCTTGAAGCCTAGCTATCGAGCCTGCTCCACCATTCAATAAGATCAAAGCTGATCTGTTTAGCAGAGATAGTGGATGCATATGTTATGATATTCCAAAATTCCCTGGATTCTGGAAAGGTACCAGTGGATTGAAAATATCTTAAAGTGACACCCTTATTCGAAAAAAGAGACAGGCAAAATGTGGCAAACTGTGGTCCAGTTAGTTTGACCTCTGTAGTGGAGACGTTGCTGAAGTCAATCATGAAGGAGGAGATAACTGAAGGCTTAGAAAAACAAAGCTCAGTTTACCTGTGTCAGCATGGTTTCATGAAGGGCAAGTCATGCTTGCCAGACTTGCTGGAGTTCTTTGAGGATGTAACCAGCAAGGTGGATAGTGGGGATCTGGTGGATGTGTATATCTAGACTTCCAGAAGGCATTTTACAAGGTGCTGCATAAAAGACTGATCCAACAGGATAGATCCCAGGGGTTAAGGATAGACTATTAGCTTGGTTAGAGGACTGGCTGACTGGCAAAAAGCAAAGGGTTATGAATAAATGGGCCCTTCTCTGCATGGCAGATTATAACAAGTGGGTGCTGCAGGGTTGAGTTCTCAGACCACAACTATTCACAACCTATAAATAACCTGCAAGCAGGGACAAAGAAACATTTGTTAACACAGCAAAATTTGCAGAAGATACTAGAATAGGTGGGAAAGCAGGCTGTGATGAGGTGATAAAGAGTTTACAGACGGATATTGATAGGCTAGGAGAATGAGCCAGAATCTGGCAGATGAAGTTTAATGTGGATAAGTGCACGGTCATCCATTTTGACTGGAAAAAAAGAAGGGCAAATTATTATTTAAATGAGAAGCAGATTCAAAGTGGGTCAGTGCAGAGGGATCTGGGTGTCCTTGTGCATGAATCACAGATAGTGGGTATGCAGGTGCAGCATATAATAAGAAAGGCAAATGGAATCCTGGCATTTATTGTAAAAGGACTGGATTATAAAAGTAAAGAAGTGTTGTTACAATAATATAAGACATCGGTGAGACCACAGCTGGAGTTTTATGTTCAGTTTTGGTCTCTTTACTTGAGGAAGGATGTGGTGGCACTGGAGGCAGTTCGAAGGAGGTTCACCAGATTGATTCCAGCGATGAAAGGGCTATTGTACAAGAGGTGGTTGAATAGCTTGGGCTTGTACTTGCTGGAGTTCAGAAGAGTGCGTGGGGGGGAGGGGTGGGGGTGATCTGATAGAGGTATATGAAATGCTAAAGGAGATTGATAATTTGGACATTGAACAGATGTTCCTCCATGTGGGACAGTCTTGAATAAGAGGTCATAGATTTGGAGTGAGAGGAGGTAGGTTCAAAACTGAGATAAGGAGAAACTACTTCTCTCAGAGGGTTGTGAATCTGTGGAACTCCCTTCCCCAGAGGGTAGCAGAAGCAGAATTAATCAACAGATTCAAGAAAGAAATAAACATGTTTCTGATGAAAAGCGGGATAAAGGGCTATGGGGAACAGGCATGAGAGTGGGATTGAGACCAGGGTAAGTTCAGGCATGATCATGTTAAATGGCAGAGCTGGCTCAAAGGGCTGAATTGCCTAATCCCACTTCTAATTCCTATGTATGTTTCGTATTTATGATTGTGGTCTTATCTCCTCTTCCCTTCCTACCCCATAGAATCACTGACTCCCTCTCCAATCAAAACTCTAATTTGGCGTTGAATGTATTCAATGATTCAGCCTCCACTGCTATCTGGGGCGAGAATTCAGAGATTAACAACTCTCGGGGTGAAGACAGACACCTTATTTTTAAACAGTGCCCCGTAGTTCTAGATTCTTATGGAGGAAACATTCATTCAACATCAACCCTGTCAAGCCTCACAGAAATTTATATGTTTTAATAGGATCACCTCTCATTCTTCTAAATTTGAATGAGTATAGGGCGAACCTGCTTAACCTTCCTCATAAAACAGTCCCTTCATTGCAGGAATTGGCCAAGTGAACTTTATCTAGTCTTCTTCCAATACAAGTATATCCTTCCTTAAAAAAAGGAGACCAGGACTGTACACAGAACTTTGGTTATGATCTCATCAATTCCCTTTGTAGTTAAAGTAATAATTCCCAGCTTTTGTATTTCATTCCCGCTGCAATAAAGGCCAACATTCCATCCAATTTCCTAATCACTTGCTGTGTTTCTGTTTGCTGACCTTAAGTAATTCATGAACAAGATCATCCAGATCCTTCTATATTGCAGTGTTCTGCAATCTCTCTCCATTTAGATAATATTCTGCTTTTCTATACTTCCTGCTAAAGTAAACAATCACACATTTTCTCCATCTGACAAATCTTTCCTCACTCACTTAAACTATCCCTTTCCAGACTCTTTGTAACCTCCTCATGACTTGCTTTCCTACCAATGTTTGCATTGTCTGTGCTCGGTCCCTTCATCCAAGTTATTAATATAGATTGTAAATACAGTCATAGAGTCACAGAGATATACAGCCCAAAAACAGACCTTTCAGTCCAACTTGTCCATGCCAACCAGACATCTTAAATAAATTAGCCTCCTTTGCCAGCATTTGGCCCATATCCCTCTAAATCTTTCCCATTCATATACCCATCCAGATGCCTTTAAATGTTGTAATTGTACCAGCCTCCACCACTTCCTCTGGCAGCTCATTCCATACACG